TCAAAAACCATGTTAGGCTCATTTGTTTGATCCAAAATTTGAAATTGTAATGAACAATCACAAAAAAGAAAAATTTGAAATCGGAACCTAGAGAGTATTTTTTAAGCCCAATTAACATAGCTTGTCCATTTTGATAAGATACTTAGATCTAGGCCTTAGAAGGATTTATTCTTTTCTAATTTTTTTTAGATAGTTTTATTAGCCTTAGATGAACAATTTTAAAAAAGAAAAAAAAGATTTTAAGTTTGTAAAGGCTAAGATCTTGAAATTCGCCAAATGAATGGCCTCGATTCATTGTTGGAGAGGACTCATTTTAACCATATTTAGAGTTCAAATTGAACTCTTTTTTTTTTGGGGGATTGATTATCGAGATGAAGAGAGTATGTGTGCAAAATTTTGGGTCATACAAATACCACAAATCTAAATAATTTTACACACACACACTCTTTTCATCTTAATAATAAATCTAAATAAAATAAAATTCAACTTATACCCTAGATATAGTTAAAATGAGTTCCCTCTAACTATGAATCTAGACCATCCCTTGACAAATTTCAATATCTAGGCATTTATTAATTCAAAATCAATTTTTTCCTTTTTAACACTGTTAATCTAGTGATAATAAAACTATCTAAAAAAATTCAAAAAAAGAGGATCCTTCTAAGACCTACATCTAAACATCGTACTAAAATGAACCGCCTATATTAATTAGGCTTAAAAAACATTTTCTAGGAGTTGTTTACATTCCTGTTTTACTGTATGAGTGCCTTTTGATCATCAACATTCACATGCAAATGAATATCAATGAGGAGACGAACTGGATATACTTGTTTTGATTTTCACAGAGAAAACACATTAATATTCATGGCTACTGCTCCTGGTGATAATTATATAAAATCAAGTGACTTAATTCTCCAACCAAAATGTAAAAAAGTCTCCAAAGAAAATGAAAAAGTCTCCAAAGAAAATGTGAAAAAGTTCAATTTATTAGCATTTACTTTTGATTAAATACTAATCCTGCACGCGTTTTCTGTTGTGTTTGGTGCCCTAGTTGGCAGAGGTCTAGGGTTTCAAGTTCTTAGAAGTTCATTACTGAAATCATGCCAAACTAACCTACCCCAACTATCGCCCTTCCCCAATTTCTTCTTTCTAGGTTTTACTGTTTGAGAAATTTATGTACGAATCCAAATATTTTTTGAAATTATACATTTGTCTACATTTTGGGATATTTTACAGTGAGGTTCATAATTTTTTAGTTCTTTTATTTACTCTCATTTTATTCAAATGTTCAACTTTCGACATGATTTTCTACATGATTTTCTTTTATATTTTATATTTTATATTTTTGAAATGGGTGGTTCGGAGATATGAATTCCAAACTGCCCTAATTAGAAGTTGGTACCAGTGTTTAAAAAAACGCCAAGTCGAACCGGACTCGCCCGGTTCGACTCGGGAATCGCCATGGACGGATCGAATCGGCGAGAAAACGGGAATCGTCCGGTTCTAGAGAGAACCCAAACGATTCTGTACAGTGACTCGCCGATTCACTGTATGGAATCGGCGAGTCCGTACAGTGAATCGGCGAGTCCCGTACGGTTTTTTTTTTTTTTGTTTGCGTGTGTGTGTGTGTAATCCATGATAGTATTTTTTTGTAATACTTGATCGTATTTTTTTGTAATCCATGATCGAATTGTTTTTTGTTTTTTTTGTAATCCATGATCTAAAGTTTTTGTTTTTTTTTTTTGTAACCCATGATAGAATTTTTTGTAATCCATGATCGAATTTTTTGTAATCCATGATCGAATTTTTGTTTTTTTTTTTTTGT